CATAAAGCTTTATCATAATTTACTTAACTACTTCTCTATGGTTGGACATTTCAGTTGATCACAGTTTTTCCTTAATATTTAAAAATACCCCATAACAATACATACTTTTCTTACTAAGTTTTTGCACATATACTCAAACATTTTCTCATGGTAAATGAGAAAATTATTCAAAGCAGACCTGCTGGGTTTAAGATAATGCCTCTGAGACTTTTAATACCATGCACTGATGGCCAAATTGCCTTCTGGACAGGTTGCTCTAGCAGTGTACTGCATAATCTCTTTTGCCAATATTAGGTTTTAGAAATTTTAAATCAAAGTAACTGTTTTAAAATGAAAATCCAAATATTGTATGATTATCCTCCTTTAAAATCACTTTGTAACTATCAATTTATTGATCTGCTAATTCAGTCATTCTGCAAGTACTGGGTATGCACCCAGTGCCAAATATGCAGCTAGAAGACACTGAGAATACACAGGTGAGGAAGGCCCAGCTCTTTCTCTTAGGATTTTGTAGTTTACTTGTCGAATAGGCTATGTAAATAAACAATCCCAGAAGATCTTACAGAGGGCAGTGTGCTGGCAGGCATCATAAAGGAGTCAAATGTCAGCTGTAAGATAGACAGCAGGAGTTTTCCAGGCAGAGAAGAGAAAGTAGGGAAACCCACGCTTGCTGAGCAAACAGCATGTTCTCAACCCTAGAATGCAAATGATTTGGTAGGACGGGTCATGTATTATGGGCAAACTGGTGGGGAATGGAGGGGCTAGAGTGAGTAAGATCTTGTATTTCATGCTGAGGGGATTTCCCCATACCAGTAAGCTTTGGGGAGCTATTAAAGGATTCTATGTAGGGGGTGGCATGTTCAACTTTGTATTTTAGAAATCTGTACTTAGAAATATGAGAAGTGATCACCGGACATTCTGAGCATAAGTATACTAACCTAAGGGGGTCCCACCTGGCACCAAGCATGCTGGTAACCCCACCTGGCAACACCAGCATCAGTAGCTTATTCTTTGCTGATATTGTCTAATAAATCAAATAAAAACTGAAAGATAACCGAAGTCTTCTGACTCCTCAGGTACTTGATCATCAATCAATTCATAGCATTATAGAGCTAGAGGTCCCCTTAAACTTTAGCCAGTCCTAAACTCTCATTTTTACAGGTGAAGACACCTGTAAGCAATTTGCCCAAGGTCACACAGATAATGCTAACTCACCTTTGCTGTGAATGTGCTTACAAAATTTTATTTTATAGTATGATGTCTCTATATTAAAAAGTTTTCATAATCAAACACCGCATGTTCTCACTCATAGGTGGGTGTTGAACAATGAGAACAGATGGACACAGGGAGGGGAGCATCACACACTGGGGTCTGTCGGGGGGAAATAGGGGAGGGACAGCGGGGAGGGGGAGGGTGAGGATTTGGGGAGAGAGAGCATGGGGAGAAATGTCAGATATAGGTGATGGGGAGGAAGGCAGCAAATCACACTGCCATGTGATTAGCAACAGTCTTGCATGTTCTTCACATGTACCCCAAAACCGAAAATGCAATTAAAAAAATATTTTCTAGAACTAAAAGAATTAAATACCATTTACCAATACCAATAGCAATTATCATTCCAAATAATAAAACATTAAAATCATTCTGATTGCAATCAGAAACTAGATTCCCCTGAGGAAAGCAACTTTACTAGTCCAGGGTATATCCACTGACATTCTTCTCATTGCTAATAAATATAAGAGAAATAAAAGAATAAACATTGGCAGAAAAAAAAAGTTGTCATATGATGACAGACTGGATAAAGAAAATGTGGTGCATATACACCATGGAATACTATGCAGCCACACAAAAAAATGCGATTATGTCCATTGCAGGGACATGGATAGATCGAAGCCGTTATCCTCAGCAATCTAATGCAGGAACAGAAAACCAACCACCACAAGTTTTCACTTATAAGAGCTGAACAATGAGAACACATGACACAGGGAGGGGAACATCACACACTGGGGCCTGCTGGGGGCTGGTGGGAGGGAGAGCATCAGGATAAACAGTTAATGCATGTGGGGCTTAATACCTAGGTGATGGGTTGATAGGTGCAGCAAACCACCATGGCACACGTTTACTTATGTAACAAACCTGCATGTCCTGCATATGTATCCCAGAATGTAAAATTTTTCATATGAATTTCAAAATCTTTGGTTGATACAGTTTAACATTTACTCCTTAATGATGACAAGCAAAGATTTGAAATTGCATTTAAAGTAGATTGGAGGCTGAGTGACGTGGCTCACGTCTGTAATTCCAGCACTTTGGGAGGCTGAGTCGGGTGAATCACTTGAGGTCAGGAGTTTGAAACCAGCCTGGCCAACATGGTGAAACTCCATCTCTACTAAAAATATAAAAATTAGCCAGGTGTGGTGGCGGATGTTTGTAGTCTCAGCTACTAGGGAGGCTGAGGCAGGGGAATCATTTGAATCCGGGAGGCGGAGGTTGCAGTGAATGGAGATTGTGCCACTGCACTCCAGCCTGGACAACAGAGCGAGACTGTGTCTCAAAAATTAAAATAAAATAGATTGGAGAAGTAATGATTATTCAGTATGATCAAAAGTGACTTATTTTTAAAACAAACAAACAAAAAATCTTCAACCTTCAAACTAAATGGATGTAATCTGGTTAAGAATGTATCTTATTTTTCAAACATGCACATTTAATAGTATTCCTTAAGTAAATCTTGTATTTGGAAAGCCATAGCATTTTACCATTTGGAAACCAGGTTGCTTGTAATTAACCACAATCTACAGGTTTATAATCTACAGGTTCTTCTGTTTTCTCTCACTCCCATATTAAAGCATTTTCTATTTGCTGGAATATATAACCTATTTCAGCCAGTGGAGTTTTAAAAAATCTGCTTTCAAAACTGTAATCAGCTGGGCGCAGTGGCTCAAGCCTGTAATCCCAGCACTTTGGGAGGCCGAGGCGGGTGGATCACGAGGTCGAGAGATCGAGACCATCCTGGTCAACATGGTAAAACCCCATCTCTACTAAAAATACAAAAAATTAGCTGGGCATGGTGGCACGTGCCTGTAATCCCAGCTACTCAGGAGGCTGAGGCAGGAGAATTGCCTGAACCCAGGAGGCGGAGGTTGCGGTGAGCCGAGATCGCGCCATTGCACTCCAGCCTGGGTAACAAGAGCGAAACTCCATCTCAAAAAACAAAAAAAAACAAAAAAACTGTAATCACCCTTTTTCTTCTGCTCAAACTGTATGCCAAATAAAGAGCTGAACTTCATGGCTTTTGACTCCTACAAATCAGTGTTCCCAAGACACCTAATATGATTAACCAAATACACCTCTTTGGTACCACACAGCCACGAGTAACTTATATTAGTAAGTTTAATTGAAGTGTCACTTGCAAGCCATCAAAAGATCAAATATCAACATATGAATGTTTTCTCCTTTGAAAACATAATTTCTCTGTATCGATGACTTTCTGAAGGGAGGTGTCTGTCCTCTTGGCTTTCTCTGGCTATGTAAATTAACATTCTGAAACATGAAAAGTCTGTGCTATGATCACTAACAAACCACAAGCCACAAGCCTGGAGGTCACGGCAGATCATATACAACCATCACCACGTGGCAGAGCAAACCCTTGGCAAAAAGACTTGAAAGAGGTGTTGGAGGAGCCTCAGCCTCCAGCCACTGAAGTCAGAATGTGAGCCATTCACATTCCATGGGATGGGACACCGTTCCACAGCTCTGATCTATAGTCCACTCTCATATCGTCCCCAGCCAGTTGGGCTCCCAGGAACAGAGCCAAAAAAGGAAAGGATGGGATATTTTTCATCCCTGGTCAACTTCTCTCAAGTCTCCTCCCCTTTCAACTCCAACGCCACCTCCACCATGAAGCCTTCTTTGAATAATATCTCCCAGGACCTACTAATCATTCCATCATTCCACCCTCTCCCTCCAGCCACAGTAAACGGCCCCAGGGATACTTGCATCACCTGAGCCGAGCGGAATTCCACTGGCCTTTATGTGCATGTGCTACCTTTTTCTTCTAGAACAGTTAACATAGGTGGATGTAAGTCTGTGGCCATGCTTTTGATGTTGTACTTTTCCCTTCCAAACTCTTTTCATCCCCTGCCACCCACATATCCTCCCAAATCCACCATATAAGCAAGCTTATTTGCAAGGCACAATGAAGAAGAATTAGGGCTGGGGGAGAGTGAGAGAAAGAACAGCCACCACCTGTGTCGCCCTGCCTGAAAACACCCAGCTGAGGAGTGGTTGGGAGCTAGAATCCAGTCTGCTCACCCTGCGAGAGGCTGCCCTCAACTGCAGGAAGGGACCCTCTCCTCCTTTGTTTCTTTTTTCAGACAAAGGCTCTGTCTGCTCACCAAGCCTTCTTCCAGTGCACACAAAGATGCTGCATATGCTGGAGAGGGATGCGTGGTAAGATCAGCTGAGCCCCCGGAGTCACTCCCACCCTTCCCAGTTACAGCTGCAACACATTTTTTTTTCACCTACGCTTGCTTCAGTTGGGTTTTTGTCACTTGAAAGCAAAGAAATCCTGAGTAATACAGCAGATAAGACACCCAGATCGCTTCCGATGAAATACCATGTTTGTTTTAGTCTCATATTACTTAGTAGCCATTGCCTTTGGACTCTTCCTTTCTATCTCCAAGTGCTTCTACCTCCCTAGTCAGGCAAGGACTAACTAATATCCTTCCTTTTCTTAGAGACTGAGATCTCTTCTATGCAGAAATGACGTACCAAAGAAATCAAGTTCAATCTAATGATGCTTCTGCTGGTTTCTTCATTAAAATGACTATGATCTCTTTTGTAACATTTTTGGTAATTTTTCTCCCGTCCACCTCGGCAGCAGAGTATGTTGTACAAACACTGGCTGTTCTTACCTAGTATTAAAAAGAGTCATTGCTCCTTTTTGCTCACAAATCCCAGTGTGTTTTAGTTTTGTTTGTAAGGGATGGATCACTCACCCTCTTTGGTATCTGTCCAACTCATGGAGAACTGTGTGGTCACAATATTCAAACACGAGGTGAAGCCTCCGTTTCCTCCTGAAGACTTCCAGGAGGTTGACAAGGTTGGGATGCTTGAGTTGCTGAAAACACAAAAAAGCAAAGTACTAAATTTGACTTGAGAAAGACAGCTTTCTCTAATCTTGATCCAACAAAAAGTAAGCTGTTTGTCCTTTAGGAGTTTCATTCTTGGATTGAAGGAAGCTGTAAACGGTATTGTCTCACCACCTTTTTTTTTTTTTGAGACAGTTTTGCTCTGTTGCCCAGGCTAGAGTGCAGTGGCACAATCTAGGCTCACTGCAACCTTCGCCTGCCAGGTTCAAGCAATACTCCTGCCTCAGCTTCTTGAGAAACTGGGATTACAGGTGCCACCACCACACCTAGCTAAGTTTTTGTATTTTTTTTTTAAGTAGAGACAGGTTTCCACCATGTTGGCCGGCTGATCTCAAACTTCTGACCTCAAACGATCTGCAAGCCTCAGCCTCCGAAAGTGCTGAGATTACAGGTGTGAGTCATTGTGCCTAGCCATCTTACCACTCTTGACAAGCTATTTGTCAGTAGCTTGTAAGTGAAAGATGATTATAACCCAGGGAGTTGGTGAGGGCAAAGAGAGGTGTAAGAAGGCTGGAAAACAGAAAAATAATGAAGAGGGAGAGGAGATGTTAATACAAACTCAGCTTTCAAGGTTCAGATCAAATGCTCCTTCCTGGGGTCTCCATGGATCTCCTCAAACTGGTTCAGTGTCTTGTATATCTAAAAGCCCCCCTGAAGTATGATTCTTTCAGAATTACTAAGTAATAAGTAAATAGTATGAAATCCTTACTGAGTAATTATTGTTCAGTTAATTGCTTAATGTCCTCTGGTATCAATAGATACGATAAATTCAATAGAATATGTGAACGACGGCATCAGGGTCGATGTTCTTTTGTTTATCAAAATGGTGTTTTTGTACTTCTAGCACCAGGCCCTGTACATAACAGGCATTCCATTATTATTTACTCTCCAATTTGATGTGCCTGAAAATGTGTGTCTAGGAAAAAAAACAAAAGCCCAGGAATGAATGCTAGCTTTGGCAGAGATGAATCTTATAGCTAGCTTCCTGGCCCTTTCTGGACGTGATCCTATCAGAAACACTACAGCTAGGCACTGATCTCTTTTTTTCGGCAAAAGAAAATAAGGGATTTATACTAAGAAAAAAAAAGTCACAGGAGAACACATCAATCATGGAGTCTCTTCTGCAGTACCCATTCTTGTTCCACTGACCTATCAGATCACGACTACAGTCCATTTTACCTACGGTTACACAATTTAACAGTTGGCACATTGCTCCTATTTTTCCAAATATTTTTTGATAGTGCCACCAGATAATTTTCCATATGAATTTTACAATCAGGTGTTGCTTTTTTTTTTTTTTTTTTTTTTTTTTTTGCAATGTGTTTCACCCTCGTTGTCCAGGCTGGAGTGCAACGGCACAATCTCAGCTCACAGCTCATTGCAACCTCTATCTCCCTGGTTCAAGCAATTCTCCTGCCTTAGCCTCCCCAGTAGCTGGAATGACAGGCATGTGCCACCAGGTCTGGCTAATTTTTTGTATTTTCACCATGTTGGCCAGGCTGGTTTTGAACTCCTGACCTCAGGTGATCCACCCGCCTCTGCCTCCAAAAGTGCTGAGATTACAGGCTTGAGCCACCGCACCTGGCCAAGTGTTGCTTTATCACATTAACTTCCCCTCTGATTTTTAGAATTGTGGTAAAATGGATATAACACAACATGTATCATCCTAATCATTTTAAGTGTATAGCTCCGTGGTATTAAGCTCATGGGTACTAAGTGGTATTAAGTAAATTCCTATTATTGTGCAGCCATCACCACCACCTAGCTCCAGAACTCTTTTCACTTGCAAAACTGAAATTCTACGCCCAGTTACACATTAACTCCCCATTCCTTCCTCCCACCCAGTCCCTACCAACCACCATTCCATTTTTTTTTTTTTTTTTAGACAGAGTTTCACTCTGTCGCCCAGGCTGCAGTGCAGTGGGGAGATCTCCACTCACTGCAACCTTTGCGTCCCGGGTTCAAACAATTCTCTGGCTTCAGCTTCCCAAATAGCTGGGACTACAGGTGCATGCCACCACACCCAGCAAATTTTTATTCTTTGAGTAGAGATGGGGTTTCGCCATGTTGGCCGGTCTGGTCTTGAACATCTGCCTCAGCCTCCGAAAGTGCTGGGATTATAGGTTTGAGCCACCACACCCAGCCTCCATTTTCTCTGATTTTGACTCGGTACCTCCTACAGGTGGAATGATAGAGAGAGAAAGAGAGACAGAGTATGTTTGTGTGTGTATGTGTGTGTGTGGCATTGGCTTATTTCACTTTATGTCCTCAAGGGCTACCCAGGTGGTAGCAAGGTTGAGCATGAATAATATCCCATTGTATGAATATACCACATTTTGTTTCTCCGTTCCTCTTTTGATCTATGGATATGGCTTGCTTCCACCTTTTAGCCATTGTGAATAACGCTGCCATGAGCATGAATGTACAAATATGTTCTTGAGACTCAAATTTCAATTCTTTTGGTTGTAGGAATGAGCCAGGCATCTGTTTAGTTTTGTTTTGTTTCACCTACATTCCCCAGGTGATTCAATGTGTATCCAGAGGTATTAATCACAGGCAAGCAGGTATTCCAGAAGTGATAAAAAGCAGAAGGAGGAAAATCGAAATTCAACTGCATGCTACAGCACATTTGCATGGGCAGTGACAATAAAAGCACCCAGCACGGGAGATACTAAAGAACAGAGTTCTTTTTTCTTTTCTCATTTTCTCTGTAAAATCCCTCTGTATTTTCAAGATGTGAAATTCCTGCTCCAGATATTATACTTGATGAACAAGTATGAAACATTCAAGGTATTTCTAAAGCCCATGTCTTAGTCCGTTTGTGCTACTATAACAAAGTACCTAAGACTGGCTAATTTATAAAGAACAGAATTTTTTTCTTACAGTTCTGCATGCTGGGAAATCCAAGATCAAGGTGCCGGCATTGGTGTCTGCTGAGGGCTGTTCTCTGCTTCCAGAATGGCACCTTGTTGCCGTGTCCTCACATGACAAAAGGCAGAAGGGCAAGAGAGCACCCGCCTCAACCTTGAGCTCTTTATAAGGGTGCTAATGCCTGGCCGGGCATTGTGGCTCATGCCTGTAGTCCCAGCACTTTGGGAGGCAGAAGCGAGTGGATCATGAGGTCAAGATAGCAAGAGCATCCTGGCCAATATGGTGAAACCCATCTCTACTAAAAATACAAAAATTAGCTGGGTGCGGTAGTGCACTCCTACAGTCCCAGCTACGCAGGAGACTGAGGCAGGAGGATCGCTTGAACCCGGGAGGTGGAGGTTGCAGTGAGCTGAGATTGGACCACTGCATTCCGGCCTGGCAACAGAGTGAGACTCCATCTCAAAAAAAAAAAAAAAGTGTGCTAAATCCCATTCATGAGGACTCCGCCTCCCAGTGGCCACACCTCTTAATACTGTTGCCTTGGGGGTGAAGTTTCAACATGAATTTTGGAGGGGACACAAGCACCATTCAAACCAAGCAGCTTATTAATCTCCTTTGGATCTCAGAACTGAGGGCACTCCAAGCTATAAAATGCCACATTTGTTATCATACCTGAAAACGCTCAGCCTGAACTAACATTCTCCAAACATACTAGGCGATAACTGACTACTGTCTTAAACCTCTGAATTGCATTAACTAAGACATCGGAAACAGAGAGCCAACAACCAAGTTAAAAGGGACTAAATACTAAATTTATGACAGAGAGCAGAGGTTTTCTTTCGGACTGAAAAACAGTCATCCTTCAGCTTTACTTTCATTTTCACACTATTTGCTCCCTTGACCGGATGTGACACTAAGGCCAAGACTCTGAATCTTAGACTCTTTCCATTTTCCACATTCCATATTTAGTCCTCACATCCCCAGCCAGCTCTTTTAACAAAAGTAGAAATGCATCAATTCTCCCCAAATAAATCCCCTGACCTTCTGTGGATGCCAAGGCTGGCGCCTCCCACTTGCCACGTCCAAATCCACAGTGATCACGACAGGACACTCCTGCCCCAGGACAGGCCCCAAAGGCCTTCTCCATGTGGCCTCTGCTTACCTCCCCAGCCTCGCCGCTTATCGCTTCCTTCCGGACCCACTGAATTTCTCTCACCTCCTAGAAGGCTCCGACTCCTCCTGATTTCAGGATGTGTACAATTTCCTGTCCGCAAAGCACCCCCCCGCACCTCCAGATGTTACTTTCTCTGTTCAGCTTCCTCTGCCCCGCCTTGACACAGCTGGTATGCACTGCAAGCGCTATGACCTTGGCACCCACACACGGGGTAGCACTGTGCCAGTCACAGCCATATCCATTTTTCTGGATGGGACCATTAAGTATTGTATTGCACCCATCTTGCTATGTTACTATACACCTTTTGAAAACCACAGTTCTTAGCCGTGTGCGGTGACTCATGCCTGTAATCCCAGCCCTTTGGGAGGCCAAGGAGGGCAGATGCCTGGCTTTAGCAGAGACAGATGAGACCCTGCCTCTACTAAAAGCACAAAGATTAGCCAGGTGTGGAGGCACGCACCTGTAATCCTATCTACTTGGGAGGCTGAGGCATGAGAATCACTTGAAGCCTGGGGGCAGAGGTTGCAGTCAGCCCAGATTGTGCCCCTGCACGCCAGCCTGGGCAACAGAGCAAACTCACCTCAAAATAATAATAATAAATCTGTCTATTAAAAAATAGGTTCTTGCTGGGCGCGGTGGCTCAAGCCTGTAATCCCAGCACTTTGGGAGGCCGAGGCGGGTGGATCACGAGGTCGAGAGATCGAGACCATCCTGTTCAACATGTGAAACCCCGTCTCTACTAAAAATACAAAAAAACTAGCTGGGCGTGGTGGTGCGTGCCTGTAATCCCAGCTACTCAGGAGGCTGAGGCAGGAGAATTGCCTGAGCCCAGGAGGCGGAGGTTGTGGTGAGCCGAGATCACGCCATTGCACTCCAGCCTGGGTAACAAGAGCGAAACTCCGCCTCAAAAAAAAAAAAAAAAAA